GCATTTAATCGGGAGAAGTGGCGTCAACACATCAGAAAAGCGGACCCCGCCTACAAGCGGGACAGACGCTAAAGAATAAGAAGAAGAAGACGTGAGAAGTGTCGAGTGCAGACCATAACTACAAGTGACGACGGATGAGAAATTTTTTTCTCTGCGTGGTGTGCGATCTGCACTCGACGCTCTTCTCACCATCTGAAATAGAGGGTAAATGAATAAACTTTCGGGGAACTGTCAGTGGAACCTCAGGATCCCATATGAAAGGATTCTGCGACATGGTTGACGGAAGAGGAAGATTACCTTGTGGAAAGTCAGGCGGACCCTTCTGAGGTGTGGTCCCCAAGCAATTCGCAGGGAAGGACATGTTCCCAGCGATATATCATGTCCCTCCCCGCGGTGTCAGGGGCGCGGTACGCCCACCGGCTGACTCGCTAATCACTCACTGACGCCTCTCATCGTTAAGCAGAGAGAAGAGAATGTGAACATCAAAGAGGTTCACCGATGAGAGTCGCATCAATACAGAAATTTACAGGCAATAAAGGGGCCTTCCAGGGAAATTTTTCGGATTCTGGGCCATTTCTCATGTTTTTTCATCCCGACACCGCTGCCCGCATCCACCTTTATTCTAATAGGCTGCCTTCTGATCGCAAACTCTGCCTTTAAATCCTGTGTACAACGGCTCCCATAAATATCTGAAATCTCATAGATAAGTCCACTCAAAGACAGGCCTGCTCGGCGGTTTGAGCGGTACCAGTATAGCGGAATTTGTAGTTGTTCAACTCAGCTGTCTTTTTTTTTTTGAGAAACACATGAAAGATGGGCTATCGAGCAAAAAGAAGAGGCTTCAAAAAGTGTACGTGCTCCTAGAAATTACGGAAGAGATAGAAGCATGTGGCTTCTGTGCGCGATTCCTCTTTTATCTAGAAAACTTTTTATTGTATTAACTGAGAATGAGAGGGAATTCCTAGGTCAGGTGGACTTCGAAGTGCAAGGCAAGCGACCGCGAGGAGCCCCAAAGAAGAGGTGGAGAGACGTATCAAGAAGGACCTAAGTGAAGTCACGGCCACAGCAGAAGATGCCCTGGACAGAGCAAAGTGGCGACGACTGACAAAGACAGCGGACCCTGCGACTGCGCGGGACTAACGCTAGGGAGAAGAAGAAGAAGAGAGGGAATTCCTAGGTGCACATGCAACTCTCTCAACACGTGGGCTCGAATCGTTTGGATCCACGGTTTGCATCGCGACCGTATGAAGAAGCTATAAGAAAGTGATTTATTCGCATTTTTGAATAAAAAATACACTTTTTCGTGCTTGCTTGATGCGGATTGGTCGAAGATATGAAAACCAGAAAAAAATGAAATAATTTAGGGCTGTCGCGGAGAAGACGGTGTTCATGCATTTGTTGCTCTCGAGGAAAAATACTGTCCCTTTATACTCCCTGTAGACTCGAGGATCTGAGGGTCCTGGAGTTGTTCAGTAGGAAAGACGTCGTGAACGCGCGCCGCCTACGGCCAGCAGGTAATGTGATTGTAAGAATTCTTAGTATTTCATTCGCTCTTCACTCATGGGTAGATTCAAAATAACCCATCAACTTTCATTTCTGATCGCGATAATTCCACCACTTCAATTGCGAAATGAGCCCCTAGCTGATATTTTTCATTGCTGCGACGTTGTTAGTTCGTGGTAGAAGTGGCTTTTTCTGCTCACCATTTTCCTAGAAACGCTATTCTTTTGGCTATGTTGTCTTTGAATTTTCTTGATCTATCCTCAGTTCCTGAAGATATAAGAGACACGATTTCTCGAACCGAATTGGCACTCATGGATGATTCTTTCTTCGTCGAGCAGCTAACTTTCGTCATGATGCATCTTATTACAGTGCGCTCATCAACTTTTTTTTCTGTATGCTCTCTGCTAATACATCACTAGCTTCGGCACCGTACGCCCCTCGCTCTGTCTTTAGCTTATATAACAACAGCTCCTTTGTCATATTTTCCCAAAATGTATTTGTTAGGGGCGGATCACACATTTTATTACAATTATCTCTCTGGTTGCTTTTCATGTTTCCTGACGCCATCATTACCGTCGAATATCTCTCAGCTCTTGTAAGTTTTTTTGTTGCGCTAAATTGCTTTGTCATTCATAACCACGTTACTTCAAAAAAGAGACCATGTTGGTCATTATAACCTTTTGGCTTTTAGCGGTCACTACAATAAGGCATTTCGCAGTGGGTAAATGTTTGAATTATTGCAAAAACCGATTATTTGGGCTGTATTCCTGACGTGGCTATAGCACATCTCTTATGGTCAGGAACGAGTGAGGTTGTTTAAGTGAGGTCACAAGAATATACAAAGAATCTGTCTCTCTGGCTCAATTCAAATGGTGTTGCTTCAATCGCAATATGCTTGACATGTATTTATTCATTACAGTGGGCTGAGTATAAGGTCTTCTTATTTTTGCATTCGCTAGTTTTAAAAAGCTGCAAAAATCCTTTCTTCTGATCATTCTTCTGACGGTATCTGCCACATGGATTCAATTCCACATTCTAAATGGATCTAGATCTTCAGTGTGGGTTTCGGAAGCTTTGACTATTCTTTATTCATTCCACATGTTTTTTACTGTTTATGTGGCAGGTAAAGTTTGCAATTATATGTATCGAGAGAAAATAGTAAAATAGAAATAGTAAAACCAGGAAAACGTCATGGAACTGCGCTCATTTGGATTTGTAAGAGTGTGAAGCTCACGAGTCAAGGATTAAGACTAACCATAAGCTTAGTAGTGGTTCCAATGTGGAACTTTCAACATGGAGAGGGCAATCGACAGAGTACGACGACGCAGGTGTTTGTCGTGTGTGGCGCGTTAGGCCGATGTCAGACTTTGCGAATCGCGCGATTCGCTAGCGTCTGCGGTCGCGTCGCGGCCAGTGAATCACTCATTGGCTGGTACCGCAACGCGACCGCGGACGCTAGCGAATCGCGCGATTCGCAAAGTCTGACATCGGCCTTAAGGATTTGAGGGGCGTTCAAGGGCACCGATAGTGATGAGTGGAGGTGCGCTGACGTGGGGATCAGTGATAATGGCGAGAAAGCAGACTTCTATTATTAGATGAAGGCGGTGGAGTGTGAAAAGTGCCACTGGAATAAATTGCAGCGCTACTGAACAGCACGCACCGTCATCGATAGGTAACACTATGCGCCGCACTATGACCTAACGACACACACTCTGGTTACAAGTGGATGAGTTATGGTTTGATTTGTCGCACCGACGCATGCTCCTGCACCAAAGTGCACTAACGCGAGCATGAATTAGTGTTGTGTACAACACCGTCTATTCCAGCAGGAGGGGCATCGCGGTGCTCTGATGCCAGTTTGGCTCACTCAAAGAGTCCTTGAAAGGTGTAAGCTGCTGTAAGGTGTATTCCTACGTTGCTTCAGGGTTTTTTTATATAATGTGTATGTAGTTGTTTTGTTACGTTATCTCCAGTGGAGAGCAATATCTACCCGAGCAGGTAGGACTAATTGTAAGCCTAGGAAAGGGGAGGAGGTCTTCTCGGAAAAAACGATGTTGCTCACAAACCCGGGGTTTCTTTCTCCCTCCAGGACCTAGTCCTAATCCTTCACATGGGGAGAATATCCCATCCGTAGTTTTAATCACGTTGAGCTCTCTGTACCGCTTGTTTCGTCCCCCTTACTGTAGACTCCAACTCTCGTTTTTGTTCCCAGTCAGGTGATTCTCCTGAAATTTTGAGGTAGTACTGTATTGGAGGAGTGATTTGGCCGTATTGTGGCTGCTTTTGGATGTGCAGAACCAACAAGTAAAGACCTTTCATTCGGCTAAATCTTCTTAGATGAATGATAACATTGGAATTCTCTATACAAAAATATCTAGAAGATCGTGAAAATGTGAACAGCGACCGCACTGGTCACCGTCTCTCGCAATTCAAACAAATGCAGACAGATATGTTCACTACTCAACGATTCTAGGCTATTATTACAGAAAATTATTACTTCAGAAATATTTTATTATCCTTTACTAGACGAAAATCTGCGAGATGTTAGGTAACTAGAAGTCGTTGGCACGAGCACGAGATGGTGACCGCAGCACGGCGGCTGATTGTGAAGTCTGAAGTCCGGACGGGGCAACTGAGGCGCTTGATCGTGACTTGGCTCGCATTTTTGACAGCGAGTTCTCTGCGACATCGGCCCGTTCTTCGGCGTCTTCGAGTTGGTGTTGAATTTGGCGGTACTTCTGCAGATTGAGGTTAGCGACCTCTTCCTGAAATTTCGCACAATAGTCTTTGGTCAAGAGATTTCGTCAACGAGGTTTTATAGCAGTGCTTGCTTTCGCCAGCAACAGTTGCGCCAGCTTGGTGAAATTTGATCGCGAGTGTAAAACAGCATCGAATGGGTGCTTAAAATCATTCGATATGGCCAAGTGAATTGCAGAAAGCATACCGCTTCTTCGATTTGTCGCTTTTTGGGTCTTCAGCTTGTTCTGGAGTTTGTCAATGAGATCCTGGAGGCGTTCGAAGTTCTTCTTATCTTCGTCGACCTACAAATGAAAATGTTACAACTGGGCATTTCCGCGAAAATGCGCAGTCATTCATACCTGGAATTGAAGCTCGCGAACTCGCCGATCGGCTTTGCCAAGGTTCTTGTTGGCTTCTTGGTATCGGCGCTGTTCAGCATCGAGCTCCGACTCGACCTCACGCACACGTTGTTCCAGTTTTGCAATAACCTTAACAGAGCAGTAAAAATGCGAATTATGAGAGGAGGAGACGCGCTGTACTCACCTTCTTTCCGCCCTTGAGAGCTGCAGCTTCGGCTTCATCGAGGCGTACTTGCATCTCCTTCAACTTGCTGCTCCAGTCCCTTGCGCATACGGTCGATGTGCTGAGAGTGCTCCTGTTCTTGACGGAGTTCATCAGCAAGACGCGAGGCATCAGCCATTGCTTTCTTGCTGCGCTTCCTCAGAGGCTTTGTACTCATTCAGGGTCTCATCAAGATCTGCCTGAAACAATTTGCTTGGTATATCTGAAGTATTTTAGAAGTAAAACAAACTTACATGAATAGCCTGGATTTCTCCTTCGAGCTTTCTCTTGCTAGCAGCCAGAGAAGCGGTCTGTCCTGAGAGTTCGTTGACTTGATCGCGGGCATCTGCAGATTCGTACTCAGCCTGTTTTCGTGCGCGTTCGCTGGCCTCGTTGGCCACCAACAACTCTTCCTTCTCGGATTGCAGAAGTGTGGCGCGCTTCTCAGCGTTGAAGAACTGCTCGCGGATGTCGTCGCGCTGTCGCTGTTCTTCTTCCACTTGCAACTGCAGCTCACGAATTTGCTCCTGATAGCGTTTCAAGTTCTTCTGGGCATCAGCGTTAGCCTTGTTGGCATGGTCCAGGGCAATTTCCAACTCGTTGATGTCGGCTTCGAGCTTCTTCTTGACTCTGAGGAGTTCAGCTTTTCCTTTGGCTTCGGTCTCGAGCGAGGCTTGCATTGAGTCCATCGCACGTTGGTGGTTTTTGCGGGTGTTCTCGAATTCTTCCTCCTTCTCTTGGATGCGTTTCTCGATCTCCGAGCGAATCTGTGACACTTCGACTTGAGCACGTAGGACCTTGCTTTCTTCCGCTTCCAGGGCAGCTTCTGCTTCATCGAGAGCGTGCTGGAGTTCCTCTTTCTCGATTTCTAGACGGCGAATGATCTTCTGCATTTCGTGCACAGAACGGCCTCCTTCGCCAAGTTGATCAGTGAGGTCCTTGATCTCCTGGCTCAAGCTCTTGTTCTCACGGCGGAGACCCTCAACGACTTCGTGGAGTTCTTCCAAGGCGTTCTTGGCCTTGAAAAGCTCAGTTGAGGTGTTGCGGGAGTCTCTCTGGGCACCGTCGAGTTCAGCTGAAAGATCGTCGGTCTTCTTTCTCCATTCATCAATGACCTTGTCGAAGCCCTTCTGCTTCTTCTCCAAAGCACTGGCAAAGGCGTTGGCACGTTCCACATCCACTTGAGCGTCATCGAGATCTCCGACCAATCTGCTCTTGGTCTTCTCAAGAGAGGCGATCTTCGAGTTGGCAGCATCCAAAGCTTCTTGAAGCTCGTTGATCTTCTGGGCTTGGCGTCTCTTGGCGTCCTCGAGTTCGTCAGCCTTGATGAGGCCTTCACCTTCGAAGCGTGCTTTCCATTGCTGAATTTCTCCGTTTGCCTTGCTGAGCTGGCGCATGATCTCGTTCTTGGATTCAATCTCCTCCTCCAAGCTTTCCTGCAATTGTTCTGCTTCGTGTTGGAAGTTCTTGGCCTGAGCAGCAAGAGTCTGGCGTTCGCGAGCCTCCTCGTCAGCTGTACGGCGAGCCTCTTCGAGCTTGGCTGGTAAGTTGACTCTTGAGTCTCGAGAACTGGTTGAGCTGCGACTCGGCATCTTCAAGTTGACGGCTGAGTTCACCGTTCTCGTTGTGAAGGCGGCCCTTGAGTGAGGTGAAGTCTTGCAGCTGGCGGGATTGTTCGTCGCACTTCGTCTGCAGTTCAGTGAGCTGAAGCTCGAACTGCTTGGCGAGCTTCTCGTTGTTCAGCTTGGCTGAGGTTTCAGCATCGAGTTGGGCAGCGAGTTCTTCGGCTTCTTGGTTGGCCTGGATCTTCTCCTTCTCAATCTTCGCCTTCTGCTTCTGCAATTGATCGAGCTGATCAGTGAGCTCTGCGACGGCGTCGGTGTGTTTCTTGCGAAGCCCTCCTAGTTGGTTTTCATGGTTCATGTTGGCCTCTTCAAGGTCACGACGGAGTTTCGAGAGTTCTGCCTCGCGCTTCTTGTTCAGCTCCACTTGAGCTGCGGTGGCACCACCTTGTTCATCAAGACGATCGCCAAGCTCTTCAAGCTCACGCTGAAGATCAGACTTAGCTCGGTCAGCCTTGGCTCGAGATTGACGTTCGTTCTCGAGTTCTTCCTCCAGCTCGGAGATGCGGCTTTGTCCTTCTTTGATTTGACGTTGAAGTTTGCTGACAAGCGCCTGTTCATCCTCAAGACGGCTGCTGATTGTGTGGAGCTCGCTCTCCTTCTTCTTCAAGTTGTTCTCAAGATCGTGGCGTTGACGTGCTCCTTCATCGATGTTTTCTTGAGCAATCTTCAACTCTCCCTCAACCTTTCTCTTCTGCTTATCGAGATCAGCTCGTGCTCTCTTCTCGCGTTCGAGACCGTCCTCGAGGTCATCAAGAGTCTGCTCGAGCTTAGCCTTAACCTTGTTGGTGTGGTTGGACTTGTCCTCTTCGGACTGGAGGTCCTCCATAAGCTTACGGTTGATTTCCTCCTGGTGTTTCTTCTCCTTATTCAACTTGGCGATGGATTCGTCTTGTTGCGCCATTTCATCCTGGAGCGAGCGAATCTGGTGATCCTTGGATTGCTTCTCAGATTCCGATTTCCTCAGGCTCATCTCGAGGTCTTGGATTTGCTTCTTGAGCGATTCCAATTCGGACTCCACCTTCTTCTTTGCGCGTTGTACATCGGCGTTGCGATCTTCCTGGTCGGCAAGACGATCGTTCAACTCCTGTAAAAAATATTTTTAGGTGTTCAAATTCAGTACAATTTAGAAACAGAATGATAAAGCAGTAGATCAGGTTACTCACCGCAAGCTGTCTGTCAGCGTCGCTCTTAAGAGCCTGCAACTTGTTGAGACGCTCCTCAGCCTCTGACAGTTGTCCCTTTGTGGCCTCGAGGTTGGTGAACAAGCCGTTCTTCTCCTCCAAGAGCTTGGTTGAGTTGTCCTCAAGCTCCTTGCGCAGCTTCTCTTCTTTGGCAAGGGCTTCCTCGAGCTGCTTGACTTTCTCGTTGACTTTTTCCAATTCTTCAGCTTCCTTTCCGGCCTTAAGCATAGGCTTGACTTTTCCGTACAGCTTGAACCACTCCCAGGTACGGAGAGTGCACCACGAGCGAACGTTCCTCTGGACAATGAGCAATCCAGCGCGCTGCTCCATCTTGCGCTTGCGATCCGCAAGTCCAAGGTACCAACGGATCTGAGCTTGGAAACCGGTCATGATTATGGCCAGCTTATCGTCACGAAGATCTTCAAGATGAGCGAGAACACCAGCTTTGAAGAACACCTTTGTGAGACCAATACGGAACATTTCTTCCGTCACTGCACCTTCATTCACCAACTTCGACATAATGGCTTCAGCGCACTTCTTCTTGTCTTCGTCGGATTTGGCCTCCTTGGCAGCAAGTAGAGCGTAACGCTGGACAAAGTCCGGGTGAAGGGTTCTGTTGGGGAAACCCTTTCGGCAAATACGAATACCTTCCAGCACACCGTTACATGTCAGCTGGTTAAGCACAAGCGCGGCATCGATGACACCAGAAGCCTTCTTCTCGTTGGGAATGATACAACGGATGAAATGAGGGTGAGTCTTGTTCAACATGTTCATCAGGTTGTTGAGGGATTCACGATAAAGCATAGAAACAGTCATGAACGATCCAGACTTTCCCTTCTTCTTGACTTGTGCAGCACCGGCTAAAATATATCATTTTACTCAGATCTTACAATCCTAGAATGATTAGGTACTTACCTTTCTGGGCAGCAGCAGCTTCTTCCTGGGTGACGTAATCCTGCCACACTTCGACGAGCAGGTCGTTGCCCTTTGAGGCTTTCATGACGGTGACGACGGTGTCGTTGAGAGGATCCTTGTTCTTCTCGAGCCAGTTGGTCACGTTGTATCGCACAGTTCCGGCGTAATGTCTCATTGCGAAATGAGCCTCGGCCTGTTTGCCCTTTGGCGGCTTTGGCTTCTCGAAGTTGGGGTGCTTGCCCAAATGCTGCTCGTTCAACTTCTGGGCCAGAGTCAAGTCCGTGGCCTTCGGTACGATACATTCCTCGTCAAGCATGGAGATGATACCCAGTGGCTGAAATTAAAGGGTAGTTTCGCGTCAGAGCCTGAATTAGTTAGCAGTGTTACCTTCTCAATCAGCTCGATACAAGCCTGGAGATCGAGACCGAAATCAATGAAGGTCCATTGGATACCTTCACGAGCGTATTCTTCCTGCTCGAGGACGAACATGTGATGGTTGAAGAATTGTTGCAGCCTCTCGTTTACGAAGTTAATCCAAAGCTGCTCGAAGGAGTTGAACTAAAAAGAAAAATATATTAACCTTTTTTTCTACCATACAATTGAGAATTGATGAGTTTAAGGAAGATATAACTCACATCGAAAATTTCGAATCCAGCGATATCGAGCACTCCGATGAAGTAATCACGGGAAATTCCTTGTTGATCAAGGGTCAAGTTACACTTCTTGACCAACCAATGGAACACTCTAGCGTAGAGACCCTTGGCCATGGCACCAATAGCCCAGTTCACTTGTTCCATGTTCTGACCCTTCGATACCCACTCAGTTCCTACCTTTACACGAGGCTTGGTCAAAGCCTTAAGGAACTCTTCAAAACCGACTCCATACATTTTTGAAGCCTTCTCTGCTTCATCAGTACCATCTGGTTCCGCTTGTTCTTCACGAGGTCTCTGCTTGAACTTCATGTTACCCATGTGCATAAGAGCTGCCATCAGACGGTAACAGTCCATTTTCTCTTCGCCTGAGAAGTTCAAAATGTCGAAAGCCTCATCAGTCATTTGGAATTCTTCCTTGTCGTTGACGCCATCAATGCTCAACTCGGCTTGAGCAACAAACCAGTAATCTTTCAAAGGTTTGTCGAGCTCGAGAGCCTTCTTCAGCTCGGGCTTGAAATCAGAGAAGATTTGGTAGAAAATGTGATAACAACGCTCTCCTGGAGCCTGACGAATAACACGAGACTTCTCGAGGAGATAGTGCTCGATATCGCAAGAGGCCACCTTTCCAGCTCTGGAGAAGTGGATTCGGATGAACTTTCCGAAACGAGAACTGTTGTTGTTACGGACAGTCTTGGCGTTACCGAAGGCCTCAAGCACAGGGTTAGTCTGGACAATCTGGTCTTCAAGGGTGACTTTCTTCACGTCAGAAACCTCTTGGACCTTGCCCGCATTTTGGCTGGCACCGACGGATGCGAAGTACGCAATTACCTAAATACATTAAATTTTTACTTCTCATACTTTAATAATAAGTAAGTGAAAAAGCGTCGTTCTCACTTTTTTGGTGTTCTCTGTCTTTCCAGCTCCAGATTCTCCTGTAATAAGCATGGACTGATTCTCATGGTCTTGCAACATGTTTCTGTAGGCCTGATCGGATACGGCGAACAAGTGAGGAGGCATTTCCGTCCTACGCTTGCCCATGAACATCTGCGCCACTGACTCCGTGTAGATCGGAAGTCGCTTGTAAGGGTTGATCACCACACAGAAAAGTCCGGAGTAGGTCTGAAATTGTGAAATCTCAGTTCACTCCTCCGAGTTCCCCTTGAGCGCGAGATATATACAGCGCGGCCTGGACAGAAGCTCAAATGGGTGTTAGCGTTTTTTTTTACTAAATTATGAATTCTCTCAGTATTCCTCGACTTCCGAGATCTTTGGGACCATTTCTAAGATCCCTTGACGTCTGCTCGATCGAACAAGCGATCGTTGAGACTGATCGGCGGATAAGCAGTGTAAACTCGTTCAAAGGGGCGAGAGCACTACGAGAGCGTTTCCAGGATTGCATCTGTTTCTAGTAAGCAGCAAAATCGAGAAAATACGTGTGGACTCACGTAGATCAACATGGCTGAGTAACGAGATCTCAGATTGTGAAGCACAGATGCATCGTTCAAGAAGGTGAGGTTAGACATATCCTCAGTCTTCTCGTACTTTGGCGGGTTCATCTCCTGTACCAACTCTTTCTTGAGCGTCACCTGGAAATTTGAAGTTGTAAATAAGCCGTCCTCAAAAAAGCATTAGTTCTCTGAACTCATTTGATAAATCCATCTTTTCGATAGAATCGTTCTGATCTCTAGAAATTTTGGAATCTCTCCACACGTGTGCTGCATATTACAACGAATGCCACAGCGGCACCCACGATTCGTAAGAGAAAAACCGACAGCTGTTAGCAATGTGCGGCGGAGTGTAGGGGGATCTTTGCCACTCCGTCAAGTTAGGTAAAAGCTAAAAATCGGCAACGTTAACTCACTTCATTTCCGCGAGCAGTAACGCAGGTGATTTGATCACCTTTAGTGGCGGTGATTTCAGCAGCCACATAACCCTCTTCTGCATCAGGAATCCAGCAGTTCTTCTTTGAATCGTAGGGCTTTGAGGAGTCCTGTAACAAGTCCCTCATACGATCACGATATCAGTAGGTAAGAATTAATCGAAGAAGATCCATAACAAGTCGCTTGAAGTTGTGGCTTGATTGATTGAGATTGCGCCTTCGGAAAGCTACTGTAGCTCGGACTATGACTTGAATAGCAATATGAGAGCCTAATGCTTGATGAAGTGTTAATGACCCTGCCAGTAGTGTAGTAAAGGCAATAAGTATTGCGTGGTTGTGGTAAGGGCAATAAGGTAGACGCTCTTGTAGAACTAAGCGTAGGAGAGGGCAGGAACTTGGAGGAGAATGAAGATTGCTTACACACCCTGGAGTCTCTCGTCCCCCACTTAGGGATTTCTCTCGTTTTCAACAGAAAGGATGTGTTTTGCGTGATTTCAAATGCATGCCATCACAATGCCCCCACATCTTGCGATAGCGCCGGCAATGGAATAGCTACAAGATGAACGTCAGTTGCACAGAAACAAGCAGAATTCGGACACTCTGCCATAATAGCGGGTTCTAAGGAGGTATTCAGAGAAATTCGCAAAACTTTCACTTTTTATCTACTTGTGGATCAATAAAATAACTGGGTTTGCTCTAGAGGTCAGGAATCCACACCCACTCAATCGCCTGATATGCATTCAAGGAAAAGGGAGGAAGCGGCCAGGGTGAGTGTGTCGATCTGAATATTTTTTGAGGGCAAGGTAGGACCCACAAGCTACCGTTTCGTAATAGTGGAAATATTCATTGGTATGCGATGCCTAGAAGAAGGACGGCTCACTATGAGAAGGCAGAGGCGCCCTTTCTGAAAATCGGGTTCAGAGTGTTGCGCCAGAGATTCTCTACGCCTCACTTTTGTCTGAATTTGTGGCAAATAATTGCAGTGATTCCAGAATCAGAAATGAACGAAGGTGGCAAAGTAAAGATGAGGAAACTTCAACCGTAAATGTGAACGCAGCGAAGAGGCAGCAAACGAGAGTAAGCAGATGCTATGTATGGCATAGTCACGTACCTCAAGAGCCTGCTCGCGGGAGCGGCGCAGGTACTGCCAACCGGGATCATTCTCGTAGTCCATAGCGCCTTCGATGTGCGGGTGTCCCGTGGATAGACTTGCCCGAGCTATGGCAAGTTCTTAGCCACGCCTCCGGCTGAGACATCTGCCGCTGAGACAAGTGATTCCTACTGTAATGCTCTCCAACGCTGAGGCAAGTATGTCTCTGCTCAGCAAAATAGACGTGACAATTGACACCCACACATACACACCGCATGAAAGCATGTCGTAGGTGCTTATTACGGACTATCGTCGCAGAATCTGCTCTAAATAGTTAAGAAAATGGGAAGCACTGCGATGTGGTTTCTTCGATTGAAGGAGTTTCAGGAAGTTCCCCCTGAAAAGCGTTATAGATTTCCTTCCACCATAGGGGAAGCATTTATTTACTTAATCTAACTATGGGGGATGCGCCATAAATAGTGTGGCGATGATTATGGGAACGAAAAGGCAATTTGAACTGGAACACGATGAAACTCTACTGGTTTGTACATTGAGTAATAGCAACTGATCAGTTGCAAGGTCTTCAGATACGGTAACCTCAGGCATGAATTGAAGCTCGTAGAAGCTTCGCGAACACAGCGACGGCGGACACCGGGTTTCCTAGGATTTCGGCCTACACTTTATTTATTGACTTAGAAGGTGCAGTTGTGAAATATTTCAAGGGACATGTTCCACCCTTTAGGATCATTCAGCGGGTCGACTCATGGTGAGTTTGTTTTTCAATGAGGCCCAGGGCAAAATTCGACATTGGCACTGTTGACCTGTCCTGAACCTTTATTTCCGAGCATGGCTCAGTCATGTTCCAAGGCCCAAACCGTATTTCAAGAATGGTTTTCTGCTCAAAGCAGTGTTTTCTTCAAAATATCCTTAATGTGGATCTCTTACATGATTCTGAGGTATTTTTGCGACGAACAATGAGCGCCTCCAATCAAACAGACGGGAAGAAAAGGTTGCTGAGAACGAATTGGACCTCCTCATTAGTTTCATGATTTCAGAAGGTATATGGGTGTTATACCTACTTAAACTTCTCATCAACATTGAACAGCTCCTGGCCCGTGAAAGTGTGACATGTTGCGTGCCGCCGTCAAAGCGCACCCCGAGCGCCTATATGTGAGAGTTATAATTCGTTGCCAAATACAACCATATCTGGCGTTCTCAAACTCCGTTCCTACGACGCAAAGTTAAAATAAGTGCAACTTTCATCGTGTTTCATTCTGAAATTCGATTTCAAGGTCATAAATATACTTTATCACCATATTTCGGGTGCGCCCTGTACATATTTAGATCTGAGCACTAGTAGACGTTCACCATATTAAAGCCTATCTTGAAAACTGCTTTCAATATGAGATTGTTCAAGGGCGCTGGAGATTCCCGAAAACGTAGTGGTGTGTAACTCAAGTCATTCCCTTCTTTCCTGTGTAACGAGAGCAATAACAGCTGCCGTCTCGCTGTCTCCAGACTGCCTTCGGAGCTTGCTCTCATCAAGATGAAGTGGCAAAAAAGCGGAAATGATCAGCATATCTGTGATGATATCCCTCAAGGATTTCACGTGGATTTCTTTGGAGAATGATGAAATTCCCACTCTGATAGCCAGCGACGGGATTTTCATGACCAGGACCAGGAAAACGTTGGAAAATGGTATGGGAATTCTGTTTACGCTCTTTCAATTTTGAATGGTGCTAAATAGTATTTTTACAGGCATGACTGTCGAGCTATAGAAAGAGTTGGTCGAATCTTGGCTTCATTTCGCTTGGTGAAGGCTTTTCTATCCGAGGCCATTGATTGATACTAACATCGTCTGACCATGAGTGAAGGCAAGCGCTGGTACCGTACAATGCCTGGTTCCTTATTTCGCAGTGTAGTACGGCTTTTACGTATTCAACTTCTAATGTGTCACGAGACGTAGGGGGCAAACGAAGAAAGTCATTTTGTCTCCACTTGTAAATGAACTGAATCACTTTTTACTGAATTCAGACCGAATGCTCCCAACTAGAAATTGAGGAGCACCTCACATTTTATAAAATATCTTACCAGGAAAGGCATTCAACTTCCCATGGAACTTTGAATGAAGACCCAGATATATCGATAGAGCTTCAAACGCTGATTACAAATATGGAAACTAAAACTGCAAAATGAACCTGCCAAAGGAAGTTGT